AAGGGTCTTTGGCTGTCCAGGATCTCTCTTAAGGCACACTGTGGGGTGAGGCAGCCTCTCTAAAATCTTTGCAGCAGGCACACAGCAGGCTCCCATGGGCACCTGCCTCCCAGAGGAAACAGAGGAGTGACAGACAAGCTGCCATGCCTGGGCACGGCGTGACTTTGGTCACTGCGCAGTCCCCTGCCTGACCAGGGCATGTCGTTTTCCTGCAAAACACGGGGAATATCGCAAAGGCACTGCGAGGGCCGGCTTTTCCCCTCGGTGCCGAGCTCCAGGCAGCGATCCGGCTGCTGGCGAGCAAAGAGGGGACTTGGCACCCGAAGCCCCCCCGCGGCCTGCGAAGCCCCCTCCTGCAGACCCCGTTCTCCAGCCCCGCACCCCATTCCTGATCTTCCTCTGCCCTCTAGCGGCACCGCACCCCAAAACCAGCCCCGCTCTTCGCGCCCAGCTCCGCGGCAGCACCCCGCCGCTGCAGCCCCACGGAGAGCCCCACGCCGCTGCGACAGGGACCCCCTCGGCCAGGTCCTCCTGTGGGGCTCAGCAAGGACCACGCACGGGGCAGGTAAAGCTAAAGCCGGGGAGTCCCTGCAAGGCCCCGGACGTTTTGAGAAGCGTCTAATCCAAAGAGGTTCCTGCAGGTTTCATGGCAACAAGAGTAAACCGACGGGAAGCAAGAATTTCTACGGAAGGCGACAGAGGAGCATATGGTTTCATGCTGGATTGGATTAAAAACTTAAAGGAAACTTTCAGGGGGCTTTGGGGAGTCCAAGTAGATAGGCAGAGAAGAGGTGGATTGATGAGAGAGTTCAGAGAAGGGAAACAAAGTGATCCAAGCTGTCAGAAACACAACATAGGAGGGAAAATTAAGACTTGGGGATGGTTAGACGGGAGTGGAAAGACTGAGGGGTGGCATGGCAGGCGTCACAGCATATAAAGCAAAGGAAAGGGAATAATCTGTTCTCTGAGGTCACAGTGGATGCAAAAGGGAGCGAGGCATTTAAATAGCAGGGAGAGTCAAATGTTGGGAGAAGCTTTCAAATAAGGGTGGTACAGCACCAGCACAGGTCACCAGGAGAATGCTGCAACCTAAACTAGTTAAACAGAGATCTTTAGAAATTACATCAAAAGAGCTGATCCTACTGTGTGTCACTAGGCTAGATTAAGTGACCGCCTGAGATAACATTTATCTTATTTTCTCTGATACTATAATTAAAAGCCATATCGATCCTCTGTCAGAGATGCGGCAAGAGGACCAACTTCATTACTTCCTTGCTGCTCCTTAGTGACCAACACGGTGGGTCCTAGACAGACATCTCTGCGTGACCTGTCCTGCCCCAAAGAGCTTCTCTCCTTGAAGACAGGACCTCCAGTGGACATGGCAAATGCAGGTGCTACGGGAAAGGATGAGGCATTGCGATGCAGCACGCTTCTTGGCTCAGTTTGTAGGCAACCAGTTGTAGAAACTGAACTAATTGCAGACTCTTGGGATTTGTTCATAAGAGAACGAGTGCATTCCCCCTTCTTGTTACTGAGCATCAAATGCCTGATGAGAGAGGGATTTGGGGACAAGACAATGCGAAGATATCTAGCACAAAATGATTAGCCAGAATGTATTGTTAATAAGCTGCTTATTCATATAATTGGAAATTATTTGCAGCCAGGGTGTCAGTACAGTCTTTCTGCGCTGCTCTGATGGAGCGAGGCAGGTAGGCACTAGCCCAGGGGAGAGCATTGTGAGCACATCCGCTGGCAGTGGGGAGGCAGAGGCTTTTACTGCCATTATACTTCTTTACTGTCACTGCTTAAAGGACAGAGAAAGGCACAGAGATTTCAAGGGGAGGCAGAAGGGAATCTACCAAGCCCCACTGTCTCGGGGCATTATGGCAAGCACAAGGTGTCTGTGGAGCAGAGTGGAAGGACAGGCCTTCTCCAGCGTCCTTACAGCAGCTACAATGAGAGTAAGGTCAAGAAAGCACGGAGTCAAGGCAAATAAGACTTGCCACTGCTTGTGCTTCCCAAAGCAGCTATTTGAGGTAGAGCCGGTTGTGGAAGATCCATGAGCGAGTCCACCCCAGAGCTGTGACTGTCATCGCTAAAGGGAGACTTTGGTTGTGGCTATGATGGACACATTGTGGCTTGATGGTTGGATGGGATGTTTCCACAGGTGGCTTTGCTCACCCTGAGGAGACCTGGCTTTGTCCCGATTTCCAGGAGACCGAGTTCCTTGGGGAGGCCAAGGGAAAGGAGGAACAGGAGCTGTTCCCCATTCCCCCTGTGAGCTCTGCCCAGGGGTTGCACAAACACAGGGATGTGACATCGCACCACTCCATGTCTTTCTCTTCTCCCACCCCTACTGTGGTCAAATCCAGGCCTGTGAAGCACCCAGGTTCAGAATCAGCCACGTGGATGTTTATGTGTCTCTAAAAACTGAAATATTTCTCCATTTTTCCGAGGCCTAGAGCTGGCTGATTTTAATGATGCTGCTGCTGGGAGTGTCAAGGCGTCTTTCAGGGACAACATTGAAAGTGTAGCAAGGTGGTGAAGTGCAGCTTCTGTTGATGCAATGGGGAGAAGAAAACAGCTCCTCCTTGAATTCCGGCTCATGTACCTGTGTCTTCTGAACTGGCCAAACTCTGTTGATACGGACAGTTCAATTATTCAGGTACGAATTTGGTTGTAAAACAGCAGTGAAGGATTTCTGTGCCAAGCCAAGTGGTAAGCCACTAAGCTCAGCCACTTCCTCCAGCAGTACCAGTGTGAAATAGGAAGGTACAGAGAGAAGACATCTACTGATTCTCTGATCTGCCTTCAGTGTTGCTCTTTCTCTTGGCTCCAATTCAGGCATGAAGCAGAGATTCTTCCTGTTTCTGCTTTTCTTTTTTCAGGTAAGAGAAGAGGGTAGGCAGTACGAGAGGCAAGGGGAGCTCAGGTACAGAGTTACTCTTGCACATTTGTCTGAGGTCCTGTACAATGCATCATACTGCAGCATTAGGAAAAGAATTTTCCAAAAGTTGCTACCACCAAAGCACATTTCTTTTCAGATGGAGAAATTCTCTGCACTGCTACGAAGGGAGATGGGCCAGCTCTGGTTCCTATTACCTGGAGACTCTGGCTTCTCCAAGACCATAAGCCAAGTCACCCCAGCCAGTTTCCTCTTCAAAAACACGGATAAGTGTGTCATGCAAAAACCACGTCCCCTGGCACTGCCTGGCCCAGCTCCACCACTCCCTGAAAGGACCATGTGGTCACTGGCTCAAGGGACAGCTGTCCTGGCAGTGATTCCTTCTCTCTGTGTGCAATATTTAATAGAAACCACAGCTACTTAAGGACAGGCTAATTCTGTGTGAATCAAGATAGGAAGGCCTTAAAGCATTTGTTTCATGGCTGGAGCTGATTATTAAGATGCAGAATCCCGGGTACTGAGGCACACCAGGCTAAGTGGACAGAGCACTGCACCTTCGATGCAGCACAAGAAGGAACTCTGAAGGGAAGGATCCCTCTGAAAGCCTCTGTCAAGGAAAAGGAGAGTCTCTGGGAATCAGCAAGGAAGCAAATGCACATAAAAGAGTTGCTAATGATTTTGGAACTGGGATCATCCAAATGACAGCAGTGTAATACTATTTCAGCAGCCCCCAGGAATGACTAGCACAGATTTACTATCACACACGACTGACATAGTCTTCTGTTTCCTTACCAAACCTTTTATATCCCCAGTCTTTTGAAGCCTCCACAGAGCCAGCTCAGGCCTGTTAACTATTCCATAGAGGGAATATAATTCCATATATATTTGTGCTCACTGTGTCTCTAGACACAAGGCTTGAATAGGTATGAAAAGATCTGTCCCTGAGCACAGTACTAAGCTGTAACCAAAGCTGGAGAATCTCCTCATCTTTTGACAACCACAGTTCCTGCCTGATCCCTCCCTTTCTCTCGAATACACACACTGAACCCACCAGCCATCGCAAGAACTTGTGCAGAACTACAGCGGAGCTGGCCCCGAGCCACACAGCGCAATTTCTTCATTTTTTAAGGGTCTGCTTCTTACTCGTGCTCGAGTAGGACAGAATAAAACCAAGGAATCCCTCAACACTACAACAAAAAGAACAGTTTCTACACCAGATCTTCACAGACAGCAATCTTTGGTTGAGGAAAGCTATACTTTAGTGCAAGTTTGTGATTTTTAAACCAAAAATATATTTGCTTTCCGTGAAAGACCAAATTTTTTACTTACATTTGTGTTATCCTTTACAATACAGTAAAAAAATTAATTTGGAATAAGCAGAAGACCCCATTTTCCTATTAGCAATGCAGGGGGATGGATTATTTCAATATTTGCATTGTTTCCCCTGTACTTAAAATCACTTCAGTTGTGCCTGTGGAGTCATCACTGTGTAATGTGCAAAAGCCAAATGGTTCTGGTTTCATTTCCCCAGCTGGGCACTGTGGGGGTGGGCACACCAAGGCCTCTGAGCGTGGCAGAGCAGAGGGCACGAGGGGACTGGTTGGGGTGGTGGAGATCTGGGATCCCAAACGGCACGGCCCGTGGGAGGGTCCGTGCAGACACAGCCCTGGACTCATTGCCACCCTGCCTGAGGAGACTTTCCAGCCAGGGCCTGGGCAGAGGGCACCTTGGTAGCCCAGAGAGAAGGGCTAGACCAGGACAAAGGACCTGCTAGACCAGGACAAAGGACCTGCTCCATCCCTCGTGGCTTAGGGCAGCCAAAGCAGAGCATGACCATGGCCAGGCGAGAGCAGCAAAGGGCCTTTTGGCATTAGGACAGGCTGAGCTCTGCTCTCAGCCACTTCCCCAAACGCACACTGAAATTATCTTCGTACCAGTCTTGTTGCAAAACGTGGTGAAGGATTTCCGTGGGAAAGCAAGACCTCAAGCACTTCCTCCAGCAGCGTCACTGTGATGCAGGAAGGTCCACAGGCAGACGCTTTTGAACAGGACACATTCGGCAGTCCCCAGCAATGCCCCTTCCCTGGGCTTGAGGATGGCCATGGAGCTGAGAGCCCTCCTCCTGCTGCCCCTCTACTTCCCAGGTAAGAGAAGGGCTGCGTGTGTCTCGGGTTTCCCACCCGCCCGGGGGCATGGGACCCTGCCTGGGGAGATCCACAGTGGGGGGGAATCCAACACCGGCTGGACTCTGAGCTGAGCAACTCACAGCAGGGCTGGGGACGGAAGAGGCAGCCCCAGTTCCCACCACTGCTCCATTTAGGCTCGAAGGTGCAACACCTCTAGTCCCCACATGTCTGCGGGTTTTAAATCAAAGATACTAGATTTGAAATCACAGTTGCAGTCCCAGCTCAAATCTCAGCGCTGCCCACCGGAAACCGACCTTCCCATTTTCCAAGCAGGTGAATTTACCAGGGGAATGGATCTCGCTTTTCAGAGTTTCTCCAGCCACACTGCCCATAGAGGAAGGTCGGAGGCAGAGTTTGCCTGTGTCTGTCAGGAGGCTGTGGGCAGCCCTGCATCAGCTCCTCTCTCCCTCACCACACCTGATATTTACAGGTCTCCAAGCCCAAACGCCTGATGCTGAGGAGAGCCGATGGGAAGGGAGCACTCTGTATATCCAGTGTCCTTACGCAGCACAGGCTCACTACCAACACCGGAAAGCATGGTGCCGCATGAAAGATGGCAGATGTGTTGAGTCATTAGCAGAGATGACCTACCCAACACAATACCCCAAGTTCACAAACGGGAGAGTTACAATAGAGGACAACGCTGTGCTTAGGACTCTGTCCATCACCATGACTAACCTCCAGGCAGAGGACACGGGCACATACTCCTGCGCTTACCGTCTCTACGCTTACCCTTATGAATATCTTTCACCAAAGACGGTCTCACTGAATGTTTTCAAGGGTGAGTACCTTTTTCCCCACACAAACCCAAGTCTTGTCAAAAAGCAGCATCATTCCTTCCCCCTCTCTGTCCCCCCTCTCCCACAGAGCTGAGCAGCTTCCCCTGACTCCCACAGCCCCCTACCCTCCCCAGCTTTGCTTGCTGCCTTCCCTGCTCGCACAGGCACTGTGTGAAGGAGCCCCACAGACCCAGCTGACCCTGTAAGCTCTCAGTTCCCTCTTGTCCTGCCCTGCCTCACCCCTGCCCTGACAGATGTGCCATCCATGAGGAAGTTGCCCCAGGGAAGAGTTTGGTACAGAGGGGAGCTCACATGCCCACTGCTTGTGGGTCAGTGACCACATTTGCTATTTTGCAGAGCTGCACGGGTGGGAGTTGGACAGTCTCTCCATGCCGTGCAAATACAGCACCTTGGTGCACAGCATGGGTACAAAAGCTTTGTGTCGAAGAGGTGAGACTGGGTGTAAAACCTTGGTGAAGACAGGCTACCCTTCAATGCGGACAAACATCAAAGCCCTGGAAGACAGAGCCTTGATCCAGGATGACACCCAGACAAGGACTGTCACCATCACCATGCAGAAGCTGCAGGCCCGGGATGCCGGCACGTACTGGTGTGCGCTGTACGGAGACCCTCATCCCACCCGGATAATGGAGTTCAGGCTCTCTGTGTCCAAGAGTGAGTACCTACTGACAGCCAAGTGTGGATGTCGGCAGATTTCAGCCCCACCTCCCCTGCTTGTTCTCCCTCCCATCCTGTGTGCCACTACGGAGGAGCCCAGCACTGCCACACAGATGACACCCATCTCCCTGTCCATCTGTCTCTCTAGGGGACACAATGGCAGTTGCCCCTTGGGCCTGTGGAGCCAAAGCTCAGGCCTGGCCCTTCCTGCTCTGCCTGCTCCCAGCAGAGACTCAGGGGAGGTTCTGGTGAGCTCCCACAAATGGGGTCACGCTCTACAACTGCTTCCCACAGGGCTGATCCAGCGGCTCCAGGAGCAGCTTCCCCAGCTCAGCGCTGGGCTCGCCCACGCTGGGCACTGCTGAGAGCTCCCCGCACTGCCAGGCATTGCTCTTGCTCTGGCTCCACAACCGCCAGCCCTCCCTGGTCCTTGCCCCCCAGACCCTACGGGCTGAGCACCTGTCAGCATGAGGTCCCTGGGGGAACTGGAGGAAGGGGAGAGCGCCTACCCAATTGGTGGTTCAGCTCTGCACAAGTAATCTGGCTCTAGCCCCCTTCTGCTCCTAGTGTCTGGAGGTAGAAGGAGATCCAGGGAGCATTCAGCTCACAGCACGTACTCCAGTGATGAGGAAGGGGTGCTATTGTGACTGCTTTGGGATCTCACCAAACATGCCGGGTGTTTTCCAGGGACCCAACGATACACAGCCAAGGAGTCAGGCAATGTCTCTGTCGAGTGTCTGTACAGGGCCCAAGACTATGGGGCTGTGAGCAAAGCCTGGTGCAAACAGGGAGATAAGAAATCATGTACCACACTGGTCCACAGGGATTTGAGGTCCTCAGGGTACCGCAGGACACTTCGGCAAGACAGAGTCACAATCCAGGATGACACCCAGCAGGGGATCGTCACCGTCACCATATGGAACCTGCAGGCACAGGACTTTGGCATATACTGGTGTGCGCTTTTTGAACAAGATCAGCTTTTCCGGATGGTGGAGGTTACACTCAG